GAGATTCTGAACCTCCAGGAACCAAATGAATATACAGGTCACTGCTTCAGAGGGTCTTCTGCTTTTCCTAGCAGAATCAGGTGCAAATATAACGGATATTAAGCGGCATGGAGGATGAAAGTCTACAACAGTAGTTAAGGGTTACATTTATCAAAATATTTCTTATAAAAAGGCTGTTGTTGAAAGAATAATCCCAACAGCTAGCTCCAGCATTACAGCGTCGTACTCTCCACTTCAAGAATTAAATGTTAATGGCCTTGACATTGTCAACTCAGTTCAAATATATTACAAGGCTTTCAACATCGTGAGGTATTAATCTCAGTAGTTGTTCTAATTGTACTCTTTATATTAATGTTCATAAATGATAATAATGATGTAATATATATTATACATATAATATATTATACATTTGTAACAGAATATAATTGTACCTATATCTATTGTTTATAATAAAACTTCGTTGAAAATTTAATAATTTTGTTTTGTCTATTGCTATCTGGTCGAAAAAAATCGTGTTAAAAATACATTCAACACTAGTGTTAAAAATATTTTCAACACCCTACTTCGTAAACATCATCTTCTAATACTCTTGACAACCATTGAAAATGTCACTGCTAATGACAGTTGTTCAAAAAGGTAATTTTTATATGTAGACGTGCCCCCTTTACCCCCAGGGGGTCGGCGCACCGGTTGGAATATTTGAAAATTCTTTCTTAGGCCTAACAAGCACCTATATACCAAATTTTGCTTTCTAGGATTTACCAGTACGGAGAAACAGAGATAATTGTGTGTAAAATGAGTGACTGTTGCATTCATAAGTATAGATTTTTCATACCATTCGATTGGTGTATTTTACCGGGTTGTATAAATACTCACTGTAGAAAAATTCAGTTCGGACGGTTGGCTCGTTCAGGTTAGGACGATGAGGGTTCACTGCGTATCGTCTAATCCGCGCCAAGAATTACAAGTTAATAGGTGAGACCTCGTTGATCTTCAACTCGCCCAAGTTTCTACATTGAATGACTAATAAACTCATTTTCAATCTTTCAGACGCTCTGAGTGCGGTACCTGTGCAAAAGTATCGATTCGAATTGTATTATAATTGAAGTAGAACATATTCCTTTGGATAATGAGTTTGAGACATCGTTTTTCTAGAGAATGAGTTCAGTTGAAGCTTAGTTCAGGATGCGTTGAATTGATTTTCAAAGCAACGGGCATGTATTATTTATTGAGTAGTTTTGACATAAAACATTGACCGGGGAAGCGGTTATTTTCTGACAAATATTTACCAGGTCTCACTGTGTAAAGACTTCATTTTAAAATATTTATTTTCACGTCCCTCCTTGATCAGGTCTGCTTGACCCTGACTCAGGGTGATCTCAGAGTGTCGCATGTCATTGACCGCCACCCTCAGGCCCCTAGCAGCCTCACTATAAGTCCCAGTTTCTTTGAAAGCCCTGAATTTTTTCAGTATCCTCTGTGGGGGAGTTTTTTACATCCTCTCTAGGTCTCTTTTTGGCCCTTTCTACAGAAGTTACTTTGGATTTTTCCGTTTTTCTGCGGTCTTTTGTATTACATGGTTTTTCAATCCATGTTCCCGCAGCTATTTTGATTGCTGCAGTTCGACTTTCGTTAATCCTGCAGTTATACTTTCGGCGGGGCTGGTGTTTCCTGCCGTTTGACTATGACTTTCCTGGTCAGTTTGCACCTCCAGGATAGTCTGATTTTGCGAGAAGTCGCTTCGAAGAGTCCTCCTTTGATATTTTAGTATTTCTCGTATCCATCCAAGTCCCACGAGTATGGGGGAAAGCATTGTCCACATCCATGTTGCCACCTGTATGGATGTAAGGCTGGATACTTTGGAAGGTCGCCTGATATCCCAAAGGCTCCGTTAGTGATACCTGATGAGGGTCAGGTACCATTCATCCTTTGGCACGGGTCGCATAACACCTTGGATTAGGCCATGGTTCTTCTTGGTCTGACTGTTCTGTTACGGTCTCTTCAGCATGGGAGACCCTACCAGCAGCTAAGCTGCCGCCGACATAACACATAACTTCCTCACAGTACGCAACCCCTTCCACCACGGCAAGGTGAAGACCTCTCGGGAGGGAAGAAAGAACCTAGTATGTTTGTTTATGAAATTCCCAACCAAACATTCATTCCGAACTTGTTTTGGAAGTTGTCTCTTGTGAACAAGTAAGGATAATATAGTAACGCCCTAGATGCCAATGAAATCAGACCTCCTGTAAAAAACAATTTAATGAAGAGAATTAATTGATATCTGGAAGTTAACGGAAATATCTTTGAACATATTTTGAATTAGGTCTTATGTTTTGTGTGAAAAGACAATGCAAAATTCTTCATCATCGCTCTTTTATGAATCATTTGGAACAAAAAACTTTCAATTTACGATTCGTTGAACTATAATCCCATAAAATATCACGACGAAAAGTTGATAGCTCTGTAACTGTTCGAAATGAAGGTATCGTAGCCCATAGCTTTATGGTGGATAATGCTTTATTTTTTAAAAAAAAACTGAAATATCTCGTGAATGGATGATTTTTGATATTGGGAATGTTTCGTGCAAATGAGTCAAAAAAATTATCTCGGAATGTCACAACTATTTGAAAAAACTGAGTTTTGACTCATTTTTATATCTTGTATAACATTGTGAAAATATTACTCTATTTTTTTTAGTTCACAAATTAATACATCGAGAACGGTTCATTTTTGGTATGTATCAAATAAACTCACTTCACAATTCTGCCAGGTATTCAATAATGTAGAATTATGCAGGGTGTTAAATTTGAATTGAAGACTTTGGTGTCAACTTTCGGTATAATTGGAAGTGTTGAAAAAACATCATTATTTTCATTCGATACAACATATTTGAAAAACTATATTTGCCACTTCTCAGGATATGAATCCTACTCATTTCAAAAATACGGCTAATCGACGGTCATCCTTCAAAAAATTTCGTCACTTGATTAGAGGATAAAAGCTAATAAAAACTCAGTAAACTTGGTAAACCATATGTCAAGCCGAGTTATACTGCTTTGAAACTTTCTATGTTTCTACCACTTTTATTTGTATCTAACGTTACTGCAGTTTCGTCCTATAAGGACATTTTCAAACTCATACATTAAACTGACAATGATTCATTACATTAGCCTTATATACCACCTATGAGTACCTGAATTTACAGTTTACAATGCGGATGTACCAATTGAAAAAACCGGTGAGTAAACTAAATCGATTTGATTATTTAACAGGTTGCACAAGCAATATTCATGCTTGTGAATTTCCAAGGATTCTAAATAATTGAGTTTATATCCCTTCCTTGCATAGTGCCAAATTTCCGTATCGTTCAGATTCGGAAACTTGTTACATGCCAAGGAATGGTTTTGAAACGTCGAATCATTTTTTTCTAGTCTGAAGGACCTTTCATGTTCAGCCTACCGTTTTTGGAAATTTCGACCACATTGTCCCACATAAACAATATTACACTCCTGCCACTTGAGCTTATAAACTCCAGATTTCTCCAACTTGTCCACCTTATCTTTGGCATAGAAATGGAAATCAGATAACCTGACATGTGATCTGAATGCCACTTCCACATAATTTTTTCTGAAGAAACCCGCAATTATCTTTGTTCTTTTTCCAAAATATGTTAGAGTTACCAATTTCTTTTTTTTTTTCAATACACGAACATTTATTAAAACAACGATAAAAATAAAAACCTATCTGTATCTACAGTTCAACAACAAATTTTATAAACAAGATTCAGGTTTACCAATGGGCTCACCCCTTAGTCCACTTTTAGCAGACATATTTTTGAACAGCTTGGAGCCCACCATAGTAAATTCCGAAGTGGGTAAAAAACATATTCATTTGGTACAAATATGTAGACGATATTCTCACCTGTTTCAGAGGTACTACACGACAGCTGAACCAATTTGTGACATTCATGAATAATCTCAATAGCAACATTCAGTTCACACTCGAAACAGAGATAGAGAAACAGATGAATTTCTTGGACCTGATCATTACACACAATCAGAATAAATTTGAGTTCAATGATTTCAGAAAACCTAGCTATACAGACATTACCATCCCAAGCGACTCTTTCCATCCAAACAGTCATAAATTAGTAGCCTACAATTCAACGTTGCACAGAGCATTCTCACTGTCTCTGTCTGCCAACAATCTAGCTAGGGAAATTGATATAATCACACAGATAGGTCATAATAATGGTTTCAACGCAGATACTATCCAGAAAACAAAGCCGTAAATTAACTTAGAGATTAATATACCCTCGGGTCAAACAACCAGAAATCAGGAAATGAGTAACTCAAACATATTTTGGAAAAAGAACAGAGATAATTGCAGGTTTCTTCAGAAAAAAAACAATGTGGAAGTGGCATTCAGACCACATGCCAGGTTATCTGATTTTCTTTTCAATGCCAAAGATAAGATGGACAAGTTAGAGGAATCTGGAGTTTATAAGCTCAAGTGTCGGGAGTGTAATAGTGTTTATGTGGGACAATGTGGTCGAAATTTCCAAAAACGGTATGCTGAACATGAAAGGTCCTTCAGACTAGAAAGAAATGATTCGACGTTTTCAAACCATTCCTTGGCATGCAACCACAAGTTTCGGAATTTAAACGATACGGAAATTTGGCACTATGCAAGAAAGGGTTGCAAACCCAATTATTTAGAATGCTTGGAAATTCACAAGCATAAACATCGCGGGTGCAACCTGTTAAATGATCAAATCGATTTGATCATTTAACAGGTTGCAATCTGTTGAATGATCAAATCGATTCAGTTCACTCACCGTTTTTTTTTACACATGCGTATTGTAAACTAAACCTTCACATAAAAATCTCTTTATGGAATACAAGTATTTCTTGTTATTTCTCGCTCATCGACTAATACGCTATTCCCTTCTCTGTCATTTGATACACCTAAATATAATTAACATCTAGATTCTTCCGCAGTGCCGCCAGACATTCTGGATTATCCAACAAGTACCGACATGATTGTGGACGAAGGATCGAATGTTAGCTTACAGTGTATAGCTAAAGGATCCCCAGAACCTGCTATAACCTGGAAACGAGAAGACGGACAGCCAATTCAATTCAGAAATGAATCAAAAGGTGAGAATATCATCACCACAGCACTTCTTTTTCAGAAAATGAAGAAAAATATTTCGAATTTTGTGGACAATATTGCATGGTAATTTTATCTTACGTATGTGAGGAATGGAAAGTTATCAGAAGATCTAAATAAATGGTGACAGGGTAGACTAGTGAATCTACCTCGAAAAAGGATGATGTTGAGAGAAAAAATGTCTTTCCATGAGGAAAACAAAACAAAATCAATCCGTTTCAAAATAGTTAAAGGCTTAGGCGAAAATGTTCAACATTACGAAATAAGTATGAAATCCAAAAAAAATATATAAAGATGAGTGAAAGTGATGAAAGATCAAACTAGAACCTCTAACGTATAGAATTTCCAAAACAAGCACTTTTTCCTAGCAACGGAACTGCAATACTCTACTCGACGCGCCTTTCACCAACCAAGTTAGCGTCTTCAGAAGACGAAGTGAACTGAAGACGCCAACTTGGTGGTGAGAAGAGTTTCGCAGTTCTGATTTTTGGAAAAAATGTTTGTTCTGGAACAAGAAAAAGATTCCAAATGAGCTACTTCACAACTACCACAACAATTTGAGCGCTATAATTATTCTCAATTCAATTTTCAATAATATTTTCTTATTTTTGATTATTAAAAGTATATCAACCTCTCATGAACATGCATGTTTACATTTCATGCCGTCAGAGTGATGAAAAATCTGTAACTACTTGAATCAGTATCAACCGAAAGAAGGTTCTCATATATTTCGAATCACATGCTATCAGAACCATCAAATTTTGAGTGCACCTTTGAAGTGATTCAATTCTGAAATGTCGAAAAAATTGCATAAATGAAAATTATTGGGTCATTTAAAAAGTTTTTTCAGTTTTGTTGTCATCTGTTTTCATATGTTTCAATCTATTTTTCAAGCTCCTAAATGATAAAGATGTTCCACCCCAAGCAGTTTTTTTATTTTTAGGACAAAATTTTTTGTTTTTATTTTTTCATGATGTGCCGTTGAAAAATACATATAACTCTCAATTTTCACCCTTTCATCACCAGCCTTCATTTTTATCAACCATTTTAGTGATTTGATCATTTTTAATGATCATAGATCAGTTCTGTATCTGCATCTGTAGAGTAGGGAGGGTGAGGGTGACCCACAGCACTTAGGCTACATGTAACCCATTGTACATCCTCCCGAGGAGTTGTCCTCCTAAGTCATCGTTCATCCTGTCCTTGTAATGTGAACAGGTCACTAAGAGACATCTCCTATATATTGGCAGGTGTAGGCCAAGACTCGCCTAACACACACTCTCTTTAGCAACCTTTAGCAACCTTTTGGCCTCGGCGCCGCAAATGCGCTTACGACTTGGCCTTTGTATTACATCACGAGGTGATCTGCTATGTCCAGCCTCATTCCAAGCGGTAGATTGGGGTGGAGATTTCGACGGTCCCAACGAAGACTGTAGTAACTCAATTTTCAACAGTTTTGAGATACTTTCACTAGCGGAATTGAAATTATTCCATTTACCCCACGAAAACTGTTATAACTCATCTTTCAATCTAGGCAACATAAATCACATATGGCTGTAAACTGTGGTAACTGTAGAGGAGGTTTTTTTTCGGCGAAATTGCAGTAACTAGACTTACTACAGTCTTCGACGAAAATATGTTACAAAGAGTCAGTCTCAACACAAGTTGCTACAGTATTCGACGGTGAAAAATATAGGTTAGGAAATTCTGTATGAGATAGTGTGTTCTGATACTGTGTTACCGTTATAATAAAATGAGTGTTTCTGATGCCAGAATGTCTAATAAAAGGACCCTTTTAATGTTGCAGCTTGCAAATAGAAATGTTAATACATCAGATTCTATTGAGAGTAAGTTTTTACTAACATTGTGTGTATATATTTTAAACAAAAAATGTTTGTATAATAATAGATATTGACCCAGCTAGTAAGTCGGTACAGAAAAAGACCGAAGGGGAGAATCGCGAGAGTAAGTGGATAATATTACATCGAATTATTTACTAAGTAAGGTAAACAAACATTATAGGTGAAGGAGAAAACTTTGAAATTGCTCCTATTAGTGCCAAATATTGAATGTGGTGAACTGGATAATTTGTATTCCCACAAAACACAAATATAAAAACCAAGAAGGTGACCACTGAAGAATCCAAGTAGATATTGACCCAGCTAGTGAGTCGGTACAGGAAAAGGCCGGAGGGGAGAATCGCGAGAGTAAGTTGATAATATTACATCGAATTATTTACTAAGTAAGGCAAACAAACATTTATAGGTGACGGAGAAAACTCTGAAATTACTCCTATTCAAGTGCCAAATATTGAATGTGGCGAACTGGTTAATTTGTATTCCGACAATTCAGATATAGACGCCGATTATGTTCCCTCTGAAGAATCCAGCTAAAGTGAAAAATAAAATGTGACTTTTAATTTCCATAATCATAATAATCACGATATGAACATGTTAATAATCTGGAGACACCTAGTACAAGTCGCGAAACTAATTATGTTCATAGTAACATCGTGAAGAAACAACATTCAGAAAGAAAACGTAGGTGTATTCGCAAGGAGAAAATGGGAAGGAAACGAATAAGAAATGAAGCGATTGGCTTGACGTTCAGGCGAAAAGAAATAGAAAGTTAGGAAGAGAATATACAAGTAGGACGGGCAAGATAACAGAAGCCAGGAAAATGCAAGGACCTTGTAAAGAAAGATGTCGATATAAGTGCAGAGAAAAAGTAAGAGTTGAAGTCAGATACAAAGTTTTTAAGGAATTTTGGGCTATAGGAGATCACACAAGGCAATGGGATTTTATAACAAAATTCATCAAACAAAAAGATAAGAAGCATTGAAAAATACATCAGATGCAGGATGTCTAGAACACAATATGAGAGGACGGCACAAAAATAGTCCACATAGAATTTCGGAGAATGTTAAAAAACTGTTGTAGAACATATAAAACGATTTCCTGTTGTGCCATCTCATTATACACGAAACGATTCTCAGAAAATGTACTTTGAAGAATGTTTGAATATATCTCAAATGCACAGACTCTATGTAGAATGTATGCAACACAATGGAACTACTGAAATTGCGACCAAACGGCAGTATGCCGATATATTAAACGCAGATATAATATTGTTTTTTTTAACCAAAAAAAGATCAGGGTGATATATGGTCTATTCACAATATTGCTGACGAAGAGGCTAAGACTAGAATGCAAGAGAAGTATGACACTCATTTAAGGAACAAAACGGAAGCAAGAAAGCTAAAGGATGTAGATAAGGACCCAGCAGTTAATGACAAAAGTGTGTGCGCAGATGTTTTTGACCTACAGAAAGTACTAGTAACCCCTCGATCAGAAGTAGGTGTTTTCTACATACAATTTTACTATCTACGACATGGACAACAACGAAGGATATTGCTACGTCTGGCATGAGCAGGTAGCAACCGCGGCTCTAACGAGATAAGCAGTTGCTTACTGAATTTTGTGAAAGCACAAACAGAAAAAGGTATAAAGAAAATAATACTGTACTGTGACTACTGTGGGGGACAGAACAGAAACCGCTTCATAAGTGATATGTTTAACTATGCATCATCGTTATTCAAAATAGATATAATCCACCGGTTTTTGGAAATTGGCCACACACAAAACGAAGGGGACAGTATGCATGCAGTAATTGAACATGCGAAAACTCGCCAATCAATAATTTATACCTCTGATCAGTGGATTACGCTAATACGAATGGCAAAAACGACTGGTAAGCCCTACATAGTTCGAGAGAGGTGTCAAAATGATTTCGTACGCTTCAAGAACATAGTTAAGAAGCAAAACTGGAAGATTGATGATAATAAGCAGCCATTCAAAATAAGTAAAGTAAGAGAGATGGTTTTTCTAGGTACCAGTCCAAATCAAGTTTCATGTATAACTATGAAGACAATGAGGCACATCTAACTATTCAGAAGGAAAGAGGGAGGAATTCAAGTAATACCCAAAACGAACCTTTACCTAAACTGTACACCACTGTGCTGCCTACTAATGCTAAGAAACTAGCAGGTTTATTAAAGCTTTGCAAGAGAGGGTTATTCCTCAAATTACTCAAATTAAAAATTCAATAATATACGAAAGCAAAAAAAGTACAATCATTTGCCTGAACATTTTAACGCAATCGGAGATAAAAAAAATATAGGAAGGAGATAAAATTATTTCTCATTCTAAAAGCGTATTATGACCTGCAGGAATATTACAATGACCATTTTTAATCATTTATATTTGCATAAAGATATAGGTTTCAACTTCATGTCTAGAGATTGTTTTGTAATTCGTTTCGAATATATGTGAATGAATGTCATCATTCTATTTGTCATGTTGTTGAAATAATATTGTTGGGTTTACTGATTACTACAAAAAGACACATTGTAAATATATTTAGATAGGCAATATTGTGAAACTAATTTTATATAGCTGAAAATTGTTCTATATATAGCTGTAACATTTAAACATACATAAGGACATATTGTAAATAATAGAAAGGCGAATTGTAAAATTAATTTAGGGTGGTACACTTGTATGGGTGGTATTACTGATTACCTACCTGTATGATGTACCTGATTAGTATAAGTATCTTTAGTTTCGAGTAGTTATTAGTTTTATCTTCCTCTTGAAGATGATCACTTGGTGATCGAAATATGTGTCGAGGTGTAAAAATAACGATTTGGTGTTGGGAAAAAACTCCGGTAATATTCAGTGGATATCCACTTCATTGTTATCTACTCACTTTGTCAATAAGAATAATTATTCTTGGACAATAAAGTACAGTTTGATTGATTTCAACTATTTATCACAACTTTTATAAGTCATTAATACCATCGAATTCACAAGATATGGGTAGTAATAATGACGACTCGATTGAAAGCGAAGATTGAAAAGTAAATAAACACTTTTGAGTTGTAAAAAATATTTCGTTGCAAATAAAATTTTGAAGTAGTGTAGTAAGT